ACCGTGTCATTTGTACTGGGTTTTTCAGATAAACAGCTCACCCAGTTGACAAGGACTTATAGGGCATGGAATTATAAAAAAAAAACTTAGCATTTTCTAGAAATTGCAAAGCATATGGTAGGATGGAACCCAGGTGTGCAGTATCAAGGCAGGAGATGAAGCTTGGCTACATCAATAATCACTCATGTCAATGCACAGAAACATGGACTTGGCAACAAAAGTAAAATAAGAGAACAGTAACCTTAAAAAGACAAATGACAGCAAGGTCGAACACGAAATGGAGAAGAGAATGGAGGCAAGGAAACCAAGTGAAATGAATATAAGAGCCTGCATTAAAGAAATGGCAATGATGGGGCCGACCCGGTGGCGCAAGCAGTCAAGTGTGCGCGCTCCGCTGTGGCGGCCTGGGGATTGCCGGTTCGGATCCTGGGCGCACACCGACACACTGCTTGGCAAGCCATGCTGTGGCGGCGTCACAAATAAAGTGGAGGGAGATGGGCACGGATGTTAGCCCAGGGCCAGTCTTCCTCAGCAAAAAAAAAAGGAGGATTGGCAGATGTTAGCACAGGGCTGATCTCCTCACAGAAAAAGACATGGCAATGAAAACAGAAAAACGAAAATATAAAAGAGATACATTTAGGAAAAAGAGTCAGCAGGATTTGGTGTAAGATAAAGGAGAGGAGAAGCATAGAATGACTCCCAGGTTTCTAGCTTGTGCAACTGAGTAGATGGCGCTGCCATTCATCAGTAAAGGGAAAATGGAAGGGAGAGCAGGACTAAGCAGGTAAAGATAATCTGTTTTAGATCTCTTGAGTTGGAGTGGTCTGTTGGGCCTCCAGATGGACCCGTCCCTCTACCAGTCATACAAGTCTGGAGCTCAAGAGACTGATCTCGGCTGGAAACAGAGATCTGGAAGCCATCGACATTTCAGTAATAGTCGAAGGTGTCCAGGGGAGTGTACAAAGTGCAAAAAGAGGAGTGAAGGAACTCCACAAATGAATTATTAAAAAAGGAAAAATAATAAAGAATTAGTGAAGGAAACTAAGAACCATCAGTTTTCTAGGCCCAGTCCAAAGCCTGGATGAGTATCTTGCCTAGATAGGGAAATGGGAATCCTGCGAGGAAACAAGACAGAGGATCAAATGGCCAACTGAGGGGTGAAGAACAGAGGACTCCAAGGATGGAGTCCCTGGCCTTTTCACTCCCCTTAATTGTTGAGAAACTGAGGTATCACACTGGGGACAGCACTGCCAGGCTACACAATGTCTAGGAATACAGAATGATAGGTATAGCAGCTAAACCTGTCTTTACTTCATCCTTCAAGAAGTGAACACCCCTGCTTGGAAGACCTCCCCTACACCCTTCTAGGAGATAAACACACCTCCTATCCAGAACAAGTCAGTCTCACAGCCTCAGAGACAGTCAGATCTGGCTGTGATCCTTTCACTGGAAAACTCCCTTTTATTAGGCTACATTAAGACTAGACTGCCAGGATGGATCCTCCACACCCTCCAAGGGCCACGACACCAGGAGGCTAGCAGACACATACCTTAAACTTAGGGACTGGGAGGGAAAAGTCTCTGTTTTTGGACCTGACATGGCAACGGGGATCTTGGAGGTCTTCGACTGGTATATACTTTGAGTCCTAGGAAGGAAAGCAAGAACAGAAAGATAGGTCATGGTGAAACCACGTTATTGAGCTCTAGGAAGCCCAACTGGAGACCCACATGCAAACGAGAAGAGCTGTGGGTGCCCACTTTTAAGAATGCAGGCTATAGGTATGGTTGTTTTAGGTGTTGAACAGAGGTAACAGAGGAGAATGGGGCCTGGAGTGCCCTGGAAGGCAAGGAAAGGCCTGGGGCACTCACGTTGACACTGAAGTGGACTCCATCATAGCGGTACACCTTTTGAGAAGGTCTGCGCAAGGCAGGGTCCAAGGCAGGATCCACGATGAGCTTATAGTTCCGCCACTGAAAGCTCGGGGCCTTCTGCCCATCTCCCCCACCTTCCTGATCCATCTTTGCTCATTTACACTGTTAGAAAAGAGGAATACACAGGGGTGTTCAAGACTTAGGCCTGACTCCCTTGCTGCCCCTTACCGACTAGCCCAGACTCCAGATTCTCTCATCACCCCAGTTTCCACACCTCACCATGACCCGTGGCTCCCCCAGATTTTCCCCCAAGTACCCTGTTTCCCACAACACCTCATTCTCTCTCCACCTCCCAACTCTCCCCTCAGGCCCCCAAGCCGATCTCGCGCCCCCTTACCTTCCCGCTCTCCCTAGCGCGCGCCCCACTTGGCCTCCGCGCAAGACCCTTCCCCCGCCCCCTGGCAGGCCCCGCCCCCTCCCGCCTCCTCACCGGCCAGCGGCCCGGGCCAAGCCCGGGTCCCGCTCCCACACACCCGCTCTCGTCCCCGCGCCCCGATCTTCTGGCCAAGAGGTGGCACCTCTTCGGGGCGTTGGAAACACCGCGAGACCGAGCCCGAGACCCGGCTGCGGCCCCGAATCGGGGCGGGGGGTGGTGAGGGGAACGCGCGCCGCTGCCCTCTCCTCCCGCCCCGGCGCGTTCTGGCCCCCCCATCTCCGCGCACGCGCGGCTCGGCCCCACTCACCCGCTCGTGGCGAGCGGCTCCCCCTCCCCCCACCCCGCGCGGCACCTTAGCGGCGCGAGGCGGCGGCGGCGGCGGCGGCAGCGCGAGACCCGGCCCCGCAGCGGTGGCGGCGGCGGCGCCCCCCCACCACCACCTCCCCGGCGCGCGCACCAAACACCACCGCCACCTGCGCGAGGCCCAACGGGCACAGCGTCTACATTCGCACTTTCGCCACGGGTGCCGCCGGGAGACCCACGGGGCCGAGGATAGCGGCTTCGCCTCGACCGGTGCCCTATAAGGCTTGCGAGTTGCGGCCCAGGGAGCCTGAAGATTGGCCGCATCCCCCGGAGAGTGGGCTTCACCACGACTATCCAGCTGCTCTGGACTGGGGTCCTTGACGAATCGGCGGCGACGAAAGCAGCGACTAATCCCTGAGGAAAAGGGGGCGGGGCGGAGGGGAAGAGGCCAGCCAGAGCTGGGGAGATTTGAGTGGCGCGTTGAACAGGCGCAGATTCGTCAAGCGGGCGGGGCGAATCGGTGGACAGGATGCGCGCTCCTTTGCTCGTCTTTCCGGCCCCTTCCTCGGGCGGCCAAAGGTCTAAGAGGCTGCAGATTCGCCACAAGTCCTGGCCTCAGCTGTCGCCACCCTTCAACCGCCTTGATGGAGTCAAGAAAATAACGCCTGGTTAGCCAAGCCCTGTTGGCAGAGTTGGCCAATTTCTCTGGATCTTTCTTACTAGCACAACTCAGAGGACTGCCCAATTCCGACCCGGGGGAAATGGCTACGGCCCAAAGGTCCTCTCGGAGTCCGATGAGAATTTTTCGGCCGAGTATAGAAGGCCCCGAGCAATTCTGAGGAGGAGCCGGCCTAGCGAATTTGTGAATTCTTCTGTGGGCGGGGCCAAGGCACAGCGCGCAGAGGGCGTGGTCAGCGTGCGGAGCCCGGTGTCGTGCGGGCGCTTCCTGTAGGACCCACTGAAACCGGGGCGGGCTGGGAGGGGCGCCCGGGAGGTGGAAAAATACAACCAGCAGCGGTGACTCAGGCCGTTTGCCTGGCGCTGCACATAATGCAGGGAGCGTTTTCCTCCCGTTATCCCTCTTGGGCCTTTAGGTGTCTAAGGTGCCCATTTGACAGATGGGGAGACTGAGCCTTGCAGAAGATACCGAATTTTGCACGTACTGGGCCTACTATTAGTGATTAAATCCGAGGCTATCTCAAAGCTCTGTGGTAAACTTGATGGGGCCTAAAGACCCTTGAACGGGTCCTGTAAAAAATAATAAACTAGGTCCTACAGGAACTAGGGTGGGCTGGTCGATTCTCCAGGCATCATGGTCCCAGTGCCCGCCGTTTTCAGCCGTGTGCCCCCTATGTTTACGCGGTCCCACCGCTCGAGGGCAGCACCAGCCCAGGCTTACACCTGGGACCCTGGGGCTGAAGTCGCCTTGATGCTGGGCACCCTTTTTCTCCGTTTTGGAAGCAGGGTATCCTGGTCTCTAGGTAATGGCATTCCCAGGAGGCATCTCTGCCTGAGCTGAAGATGCCCTGGGTTCCAGACATCTCTGCGTCAGTCCCTCGCTGTATGACCTTGGGCAAGTCATTAACCTCCCAAAGCTTCAGATTCTTTCTCTGAAAATGAATGTTAATTCCTGTCCTGCAGGTCTATTGTAGGCATCAGAACAGTGCAGGAAAGGCCCTTGAAGCCTGGTTCATGCAAATTCACCATTTTAAGTAATAGGAAAAGAAAAAAAGGAGGACTTGCCCAAGATCTCACACCATAAGAATAGAAGAGAGAGGATTGGGACCCTTTAAAATTTTGAAGAAAATGAGGCTGAAAAAATAAATTTGCATGGAAGCATGGGTGATGAGATCAGATGCCTTTCTCTTGTCCCAGCTGAAAGGTATTTGCTCCTTTTCTCAAACAGATTTCATGTGACAGTAAAGGTAGTCCAGGTTTTCATTGACTAGTTGTGTGGCTTTGGGCAGAATCCTCAGCCTTCTTGGGTCTCAGCTTCCTTATCTCTGAAATGGTAATGATAAAGACTTGTCTCTTGAGGTGGTTGTTAAATAAAATAAATTAGGTACGTTAAAAAAGATAACCTATGAAAAGCTCCTAGTAAGTAGTAGTCACTCAAGAAAGAAACTTAAACTAAAAGAAACATATTAAATCCTCAATGGAAGAGATAAAAGATCCTGGGCTCAAGGACAAAAGGCAAAAGCCTTTAGCCTTAGAGTAATGCGGTCTCCACATTCAGAAGCTACTGGTCCCTGTCAGCACCAGAAGGGAGTCATACCTGGTACCCTCTCTCTCCCACCCCCAGGTACACTTGCCTCCATCTGACTCTTAAGGAACAAGTCACCTGACCCCAAGGAGGCCTCCCGTTCACCCCATTCACAGCCACAGGGACATCTGTGAAACACAATTTATTATACAAAACAAGGTGCATCAAAAATTCAGTGTCAGAAGAGCTCTGTATTTCAAGGACTAGGGACTGGACCTTCTCCCTTAAAACCTCCTCACCCCAACCCCTGCTAGGGAGTCAGGCTGGACACATAGACCCCCAGCCCTGGTCCAGGAGAGTGAGAACCAGATATAGAAGCGTAAGTGTGGGTCTAGGGCAGTGGGGCAGGCACTTGAACCTCCCAAAATAGGGAGGCTCTTCCTGGACCTATGCCTGGGGTAAAAACACCCAAATCTCTCTCTACAGCAACTAAAGCAAGAGTGTAAAACCCATCAAAATCTGAGGATGGGGAAAACTTCCCCAAAAATGCCAACCATAAAACAGATTCTACAAAAATAAAGCAAGAGTTGGCTGCCTTCTGGGGCAGCTGGGTGGGCGTGTAACCTTCTGACCTCCACATCCTGTATAGGGGCGAGTGGATAAGGTTCAGCACCAAAGGTCTGACCAGGGTCTCCTTGCCCTCCCCTCCGCCTACCGCAGTGGCCTCGGACTGAGGCCCTCCACCTCCTCCCAGCCCAGCTGTAGAGTAGAACTTAGAAAACCTAAAGGACCGACTGATGGAGAATCCCTGGGAATGTGGGAGCTGCCCCAAGGCCCAGCCCAAAGGACCCTGAGAGCAGAAATCTGGTCTCTACCTGAGAGTGGCCACAGGAAGTGTCTCCAGGCAGGGGCAGGGATGGGGTCTGCAGACCCCTGAGGGAGGCAGTGCTTGCAGCTGGGGCTCACACCAGCGTCACACAGCCTGCAGCTCCCCCTGCAGGCGACTTAGCTCCTCTAGCTCTTGCTTGTGGCGGTCTGTCTTGTGTGCCACCAAAGAGCGGTAGAAATGCAGGGCGAAGGCCACGAACACAAGCCCTACAGGTACCATGATTGCCGTGGAGGCCATGGCTGCTTGCCAGCCTGGTCCATGGGCCCCGCCCCCACCACACACTTGCCGGGGTGGGCAGGCCTCAGATGGCTCAGCCTGTGACGGGGCTACAGAAGCAGAGGATGGCTTGGAAGCTGGACTAAGGGAACTGGTCACTGATGGCAGAGTCCCAGGCACCTGGGAGGCAGGTACCACAGGGGCCGGCGTGCCCAAGGGGGCCCCAATGGGCACAAACTTGACCCAGCCAACCAGGACAACTTCAGCGAGGAAGAGGAAAGTGCCCAAGGCAGTGGAGAAGCCCCAGGCCAGCTCCACGTAACGGTGGAGTCGCTGGTGTGGAGACTGGTGGACAGAGTTGAGGTTGTGGATGTTGCTAACGGCTTCAATGTGGGGCAGCAGACACGTGGAGACCATGAGTGCAAAGAGGTGCACCGCTACTAGCACGGTGGTGCAGGCACTAAAGGCCACCAGCAGGCCTGGTGGGTAGTCGTGGTTGCTCTCCAGTTGCACCTCCACCATGGCCACCTGTGGGGACAAGAGGAAATAGATTGAGTGCCCATAACCTCCTCAACAGTACAGGAGTTTTTGCCTGTTGGTATACATCACTGATTTATCCCTAGGACCTAGAACACTGCCTGGCAGAAAGAAGGCACCTAGCCTTTGTTGAGCGAGTGAATGGGCAGCACTGCCAAGGCTCTGTCCTGTTCTGGGCCTTGGTTTCCACATCAGGCTATCAAGAGGGCTGGATGACATTTCTGACAATCTTACCTTGTTATAACACAGGGGTTAAAAAGCACAGATTCTGGGGCTGGGCTGCCTGGGTTCATTCTCAGCTCCACAAGCTATGTAATCCTGAGCAAGTGACTTAGTTCTCTCTGTGCCTCAATTTCCTCATCTGAAAAATGGGGACTGATAATAGCATCTACCTGCCTTATAGGGTTGTTGTGAAAATTAAATGAGATAATATACATCAAGTGATAAGAATAGCACAAGGCACATAGTAAGCACTGTTTGCTGTTATTATTTAGAGTGGACTCTAAAGTCCAAGGCCAGAGTTTGCACACTGGCACACCGTGAACCCAAGCCAGCTTACAGACATGTTTTGCTTGGCTCATGCAGTGTGTTTTTTAAAGAATTAAGTTGCCAACTTTTAAAACTCAAGAGATTTCATATAAATATGCCTATTTCCAGATCCTCTTGAAAATTTGCAAGATCTGGTTACACCAGGCCCACATTCCTGCATGGCAACTATCAGCTAGAGTTGTCATGGCTGCTCCCTTTGAACAGGACATGGGGTCTCTTGATAGCCACAGGCCCCACCCAGCCAACTTGGTGTCCATATTACCTGCCTGGCCTTTGCAAACATTTAAGTTGATGATCCTGTTCTAGGCTTGTATAAATTTGGACTCTAGAGCCAAGTTCAAATCCTGCCACCTCCTTGCTGTGGGACCCTGGGCAGGTGTCTTAACATCTCTGATCCTCAGTTTTCTCATCTGTAAAATGGCCATAGTAGAGGTTCCTATTTCATAAGATAATAGAAAGATGATGCACATAAAAGCCCTAAGTACAATGCCTGGTACTTAGTGACAGTTCAATACAACTTATATAGTGTTATTCTAACCTAAGCCACCTGGATCTTTCCCCACGCCTGGTTCTTGCAGGATCCATTCGATTGCTCTGGGGCTGGGAGAAGGAAGGTGCAGAGCCTGGAGGGTGGTAGTAGGAAGACAAGGCTGAGTATTTTGGGAAACTGGGCCATGGCGGGTGTCAGCAGGTGGTTTCCATAGACAGGGATCTGGGCCAGGCCTAGTCCTGGTTTCTCCCAGAGCTTGACCCAGCCTTGCACTCCCCTGGCAGGACTGGGGCCAGTCCTGCCCCCAGAACTTACTCATCTGGCCTCTTGATCCTGCAGAGAAGGTCCTGGTCCTTAAGCTGTTGCCCCAGCAACCTGCAAGTCCAGTAGCAGGCCGGATTGTCCCCTTGGGAACAGGCTGGACCATGGGGTAAATGGGGGTGGGGGACTCCCTCAGCTAGGTCCACGGGGCTGTTCCCTTCTCTCTGCAGTCTGTACAGGGGAAGGGGAGTCAACTCCCTGTCCCTCGATGACCCCACATCAGGAAGAGTGGGCTGGCCTGTGGATCCTGGGCTCCCACACAGAAAACCATAGACTTAAGATGACCCTAAGGGATAGAGACTTTCTCTCTCATCGTTCAAGTACAGAGACTGTGGCACAGAGAGGGACAGGGACTAACCAAATCACCTAGTGCTATGATCCCTCTATCCTCATCTGGACCACCCCCAACCCCTGCAGGAGCTTGTTCCTATGAGGACCCCCCTCCAGCCCGCTTTCTCCTTCTTCCTGTCATGATGGTGGGGAAACACTGGACTAACAGTCCAGTGACCCTGGGTCCTATTCCGTTCTATATCCTTCATCTGCTGAGTGCTCTTGGCAGAGCCACTGCCCCATTCTGTGCCTTGGTTTCCATGCCTGTCCAATTATCAGGTAGTCTGAGCCATCTCTGATGTGTGTCTTGCTCTGACACGCTTGGATCTAGGGTTAGGCAGATTCATCCTGGGGTGGACACTTGGCAGGCTACAGAGGGCGCACCCTCTGTGATCTCACAATTTCCCACTGGCCTGCAAGGGGGTGGAGGCCTGTCCAGAGTCACATAGCTGGCCACAAGCAGGGAGGAGCCAGGACTCGTGCCTGCTGACTATTCCTCACCCGAGGACCTCCCTCAGTCCCACTTCCTAGGAGGCCTCTGCTGGGACCATTAGCTGATATCATCCGCCCACACCTGCAGTTTATCAGCTTAAGAATCATGTATCAGCTTCCTAATCAGTTTCTTTCCCTAGCGGCTTTCTTTCTTTTCAAAGCCTCCCTGGGCTATGCTAAGCCTTCTTTGTGCATGCTGGGTACTAGCTGCCCTCCTTGAGATGGGCCCACCTTCAGTTGGGTGACCTTTCCGCCCAGCTTACCCTCTCTGACCACCCCCAGCCCTAGTCCTATTTATACAGCCCCCACCCAGCTCTGATTTCCCTTTGAATCTCTCACGGGGACCTAGTAATCACTTCTGCCTGGGCCAAGCTCCTTTTGGACCTCTTTGTCCCATCTTTGCATATGTTATCCCCTTTGGTGATCTGTCTACCCCCATGACATGACTTGTGTCCCCCATGAAACTTCTGTGACTTGCTTATCCTCCCTATGGCCCATTCTACTAGAGATCTGCTCACATACAAATACACACCCCCCACTCCCCAAAAAGGGACTTGTATAGTCACTTGGACCTTGTTTGTTCCCTTCTTTTACCTCTTAGAACCCCATCTTTTCCTTGCCTCTGTCCTCTCTCCCTTGAGTATCCGTTCACTTCGCCAACGGCTCCGTGCCCCCCATGTGCCTCACCCCCACCCTGTGCGCCCCTTCCCTCCCCTCACCATGGCGAAGCCCGAGAGCAGGGCAGACGTGCGGCTGGAGGCTTTGAGCTTGGCCCGGCTGAGGTAGAGGCGGCGCCAGCTGAGCGCCCGCAGCGAGTGCTGACTGGCCCCCATGAGGTCCAAGTAGCCGCGGTGCACGAACTCTCGGTACGTGGCCGAGCCCGCGGGGCTCTCGGCCTCCGGGTTCAGCGGGGCCTGTTCGCCCGCGTCCCCCTCGCCGCCCCTCATTCTCGGGGCCGCAGCACCAGGCGGGCTGGGTGGTCAGGGTGGGGCCGAGTCTCCTCGGGGGCCCCAGCAGGGCCGGCCCAGGCCGGGGAAAGGCCCCATACCCCGGCGGGGCGAGCGAGGATGCGGGCGGCGGGCGCCCAACAAAAGGCAGCCCGGGCGGAGCAGGAAGAGCAGGCGTTGGCGGAGAACCCCAGGAGCCGAAGCGGTACAGCAAAGACCGAAACAGGAACTAGGGCGGAGGCGGAGCCGGGCGACCACATGATGGGGTGGAGCCGGGGGACCGTCCGCAGAGATCCCAAGGGACCCTGCGACCCCAGTCCACCCAGGATCTCATCCAGGTGCCCGAGTCTTGCTGAGATGAACGCCCAGTCCCAGCCAGTGACTGGGAGTTCCCGGGCCCTGGACCATTCGAGGTACACCTGGACACCCCTAGATGTCCAAACCCCCACCTAAATAGTGAATTCGGAGGTGAGCCCATTCATCCGCAGGGACCGCAGAAGGCCCTGTATCCTCAGTTCCGAGAAGCCTAGGAGGTCCAAAGCCCCCCGGATCCATCTAAACAGCCCCCTCCTCCGAGAGCCCCGAAAGGTGAGCACTCCGGTCATCCCCGCCCCCGCCGCCCGCCCCCAACGCCGCAGAAAGACACACGAACTCGGCGGCCCCGGCTAGAAGATTTTGAGTTTTATAGCAAACCGTATTGTACAGACCCGGGGCCCAGGGGCCCAGCCCGGCTGGGTCCCCCACTTATCCCTCGCAGGGCTGCCTCCTCCCTCTCCCCTAAGCGGCCCCATCCTCAAGCCTTTCGCAATTCCCAGGACCCCCTCCCCTCCGGCCTTTGGTCCGCCCAGTCCCTCCCCCCTACCCGCGCACCTCCCTGTTACCTGAGGTATGTGGAAAGATCACCCCTCCCCTACATGGTACAACCCGGCTCCCCGGGGAGGCCTGGGCTGAGGGACGGGACCGGGCCCCGACTCCTCCCCCTGGCTCCCCAAACCCCACTCCCTCACTGGAGGAAGGGGCAAGGGAGGGCCAAGTGAGTCTGTTACTAAGTCCCATGGCACCTAAGAGGAGCCATTTCTAGCCTTAGCACTGGCTTTGGGAGGTGTCCATTGGCTGCTATTTCCATGGCAACCAGGAGTGGCAGTTCCCTAGGCAAATGGGATACAAGTTTCCATAACGATGAAAGACTGGGAGGAGCCAAGCTGGAGGAGTCCCATTTTCCCCATCACTGGGCGGGCACCCCACCCCACCTCAGGTCAGGAGGTGTCGGGCTGCTCAATACAGTAAAGCAAGAGAGACCCTGGGGGTGGTGCAGTCCAAACTGGGTGCCCACCGGTCCAATCTCAGTCCCAGCTGGTCCCGTCCCCTCACATTCGGGCTCCCCCAGGTCCGAGGTTCCCCCGGTTCAAGTAACACTTCAGTACAGATGAATGTTCAAGTATTGTGTGGGGAGGCAGGTAGGGGGCTGGGGTACCCCTCACCACTCCCCTGGGCCCAGCGGGCAGGCCCACAGCCCCCACTCCTCACAATAGCTGCCATTGTCAATGACGTTCAAGGAGTCAAGGTTGGGGGGAAGGAACTGACATCTGGGGAGGAAGTAAGGAGAGGGGTGACCCCCTGAGGGGTACTACTGCCCCCCCACCTGCTCTTGCCCCCCACCCCTTGCTCAGTCCTGGTTTTCCCCTGGTCCCCCGCGTCCCCCCGCCTCTGATACTTGGATCCCCAATTGCTCCTCTGGTTTCCCTTTTTGGACCCCCCTCCCCACCCCCCAACTCCAAGTATCTGGTCTTTGTTCCCTGAACCCTTGATGGTCTGCTTTCTGCCCCCCTCCCCAGCCCATCCTCCACCTCCCCCACTCCCCTGGCTCCCAGTATCCTCTGTGCAGATACCCTTTCCCCATTCTCCCTCCCTCAAACTTGCACCTTAACCCCCCTCCCACCATCCCTTTGGCTCAGCACCCCCCAGTACCTCTGACCCACTCCCCCCAGGGGATGGACAATGAAGCAGGTGGAAGGGGGAGGGGATGGGAAGGAGAGACCCCCAGAGATATCAGTGCAGGGGGTAGAGATGGGGGGAGGCTGGCTCGAGTCCCTGGGCAGGAATCCCAAGTCAGAAAACTCAGGAATCCCAAGTCATGAGGTGGGTAACCTGGCCTCCCAGCAGGGGTGAAATGAAGGCCCGAGGTCCAGGCTCCTGAAGAGTCCTGGGGGAAGGTGGGGGGCGCCCAACTAGCTGTCCTTGAGAAGCAGCTTCTCTTCTGGGCAGCGGAAGGGGCCAGGAGGCCCGGCAGCTGCCAGCCGGGCACAAGCTTCAGGTGAGAGCTGGCGACAGGAGCGCAGGTCTAGGCGGCGTAGGCGCGGGCAGCGGCGGAACAACGGGAGGCAGTGGTCCGTGAGGCGGTGGCAACCTGGGGATGGGGCAGTGGTAGCTGAGACCAGGAAGGTGAGTACAGGGTAGCCACTAGCCATGGGGACAACAGCTAGCAGGATGGACAGAGAGGGGACCATGCTTACCAGCAAGATTAAGGTGTACCAGAGTCTCACGGAGTGGGGACGTGGGGGCCGTGAGGAGGTGGACGCTGGGATCCCCGACGTGGGCGCAGTGGCTCAGGTCCAGGGCACTCAGCTGGGGTGCGTGGCGCAGCAGGAGCCGCAGGGAGGCATCTGTCAGCTCCAGGCCCGCCAGGCGCAGCTCTGCTACCCCCTGCAGCCGCCCACGGCTCTCTGTTTGCCCTGGGCAGGCAGGTAAGAGGTCAGTCCTCCTGGCTGCTCCCATCCCTGCACCTAGGCATCCAAACCAGCTGTGTGCCCACTCTCATATTCCTCCCCACCCACTAAACCTGCTCCGACTATAACAGAGCCTCGACTTGCTGTCCCCTCTCCCGAACACCCACAGAACCTGACCACATCTCTCTGTCCGTTGCTCACATCACCTCCATAGTGAGGCCTACCATGATTACTCCATTTGAAACTATAACATTCCATGTACTCCGACCCCTTCCCTGCATTTTCTTTTTTTGCCCTTTTCTCACCATTTGGCATATATATGTTTTTTCTTCTCCCACTAGAATGTCAGTTCCATGAAGGCAACAAGTTTTGTCTGTCTTGTTCCTGCTCTATCCCCAGCAACGGGGACATAGGTGCTCAATATATATATACATATTCACTCATCCAACAAATGACATCCCTAATGGGACGGCCATCCCAGGCTCTTCCACTTCCCTCTCCTTCCATGATTAGTAAAGTCACCATCTGGATCCTTTCTCTCCATTTCCCCATCACCACTGTGCGTCGACACCACTCCTGCCCCAGCCTCCTCACTCACTCCCGTCTCTCCTCTTGACCTGGTGTCCAAAGAACCATTCTCGAACACAACTGGGACAACATCCCTCTTCTCTCAAAAACTCTCTGAGGGCACCTCAGAGAAGGCCGATCTTCTTGGTAAAACATTCCAGTTCCTATAAGGTCTTGTCCCTGTCTCAGCTCCTAACTCCTCTCCGTCACCCCCAAACACTGGGGCCAAACTCCACAGGTAACCCTGCCCTGCGAGACTCTGCCTCTGGCCACCTATGCTCAATCCTCTGCCTGGCCAGGGTCCCTGGCTTTCAGGTCTGAGCTCGGAGGCTTCCTCTTCCTCCATCTCCAGGGTAGAAGAGCTCCTTCCCCTCATCTGTGCACCCAAAGCACGTGGTCTGCTTTTCTTCTATCTAGCTACCACATTCCTGCATTGCGGTTTTTGTTTTTTAACTAAGCACCTATGGTGCACCGGCCGCCATTAACTGAGCACTGACTGTGGGCCAGGCACCAGCTAAGTGGCTGCTGGACCCTATGCCAGTCGCCACAGTAGACAGGCTTCTGTGTCCCCTGGAGGGCTGGTTAAAATGGATTGCTGGCCCCACCCCCAGAGTTTCCGTAGTCTAAGGTGGGGCCTCAGAGTTGACTTTCCTAACAAATCCTTCAATGATGTTGATGCTGCTGGTCTGGAGACCACACTTAAGAACCACAGCCTTGGGAGATGAGTTCTCTAACCATCATCCCTGTTTACAGATGAGAAAATTGAGGCTCAAATCATTAAGCAATCTGTCCAAGATCACATGACTGAAGTAACAGAGCCAGGACACCAGGCCTGTTGACTCCAAGTCCAAACTCTTACCAAAATGCTATCTGCCTCCCAGGCACCAGCCTAGCCCTGAGATAAACTAGATCAGACGGTACAAAGTCAGGAAACTAGCCTACACAAGTGTTTTATGGAGTGTTCATGATGCTAAACATTTTTTTAACGACTAATGCTACAAAAAGGACTTTTTTTTTTTTTTTTTGGTGAGGAAGAGTGGCCCTAAGCTAACACCTGTTACCAATCTTCCTCTTTTTAGCTTGAGGAAGAGTAGCCCTCAGCTAACATCTGTGCCCATCTTCCTCTATTTTGTATGTGGGACACTGCCATAGCATGGCTTGATGAGTGGTGTAGGTCCATACCCGGGATCCAAACCCACAAACGTAGGCTGCTGAAGTTGAGCGTGCTGAACTTAGCCACTATGCCACCAGGCCGGCCCCCCAAAAGATATTTGTATAAAGAAATTTAGATATTGAGCTTTTCCTTGAAAAATCGTAAGATCTGGCATCACTGGGCTACCCCTTTCACCTGACAATGATTATCTGGAGCTGGGTTGCTAGGTGCTACAACCTGATGTCCTGTGCCAAGCCCATCACTTCTGTTACCTACCAGGCCTCCTCTGTGGGCACCTGATTTGGCAAGCCCTGAATTCCACCCCCTTTTGTTCCTGTGCGGAGCTGTGAGAGCCTGAGAGGGGATATAGCTACAGATGCCCTCCATCTTGGGCCACAGCTAAAAGCCATTAGAGGGAAGCAGAGGAAAGAGAGGTCACTTCTGGCTTGGGAGGGGGCAGGGACTAGGCACAAGTGAGGATTTCACTGAGGTGGCAGCATTTAAGCTGGGCCTTCAAGGATCTGAATGTGCAGAGAGGTGGGAGAAGGGTCCACCAGGCAGAGAACAGGAGGGGCAAAAGCAAAGAAGTGGAAGAACTTGAAGTTTTGCTCTAGGAATGCTGTGTGAAGCCAGGGAGCCCAGATAAGAAAAGCAGGTGTAGGCCGGCCCTGTGGCTTGGTGGTTAAGTGCACGCGCTGCGATGCTGGCGGCCCGGGTTCGGAT